TTACCAATTAATTAACTTATCGAAAAATAAAGGTTCGACGATTCGATTGGTACGTTCAGAAACCGAAAACGAGAGGAAAAAAAAAAACTCATTTTAAAAAGTGGGTGTGATGATGTTTTTTTTGTTTAAGTAATAAATCATAATAGAAAATTAAAAATTTATCTAAAAAAACGCGAGTAAGTGAAGGCGGTTCCGAGTTTAATGCCACGACATAAAAAAAAAAAAATTTTGCAATGAACCACCACCACCACCATTCTAAAATCGAATATTATTATTATTATCATTTAAAAAAAAACATTTAAAATAAAACCTTGAAATAAATTTTTTTTTTTTTTTAAAAGATCGATTATATTCGAACCTTCGTTTTTTTTTTCGATGATGAATTCTTTGTTATTATAAAAGTACGTTCAGAAATTCTTTGTTATTTTAAAAGTACGTTCAGAAATTCTTTGTTATTATAAAAGTACGTTCAAAAATTCTTTCTGTTTCTTTCGTTTCCCCCAATGACGACAACATAAATCCAAAAAAAAATCATTGTCATGTTTTCTACGCACACACATTATGCCAATCGACTTTATTAAAACTTTCTTTATGATACATGACGCGGTGGGAGGTGGGGGGAAATATCATGAAATACCGAGAGTGTGCATATTTGATCCTTGACCAAATCCCCGGAACACCTCTCTCAGGATTCACGGTTTATGATTATGAAATCGCAACGAACTTAAACACAAACGAGTCTTGAAAAAAATTTTCTTTTCTATCTTAAAGGCAACAACCGCGATTTGAAACGATGGCAAAAGGGAAAAGAAAAACAAAATGATCGAAATAATAAAACAATAATACGAATGACCAAATTAATAAAAAAAAAAAAAAAAAATAGAAATCAAATTATTTTGGGTGCGGTAAAAAATTGGCAAACGATTACGATTGTGTTAAATCTTAATTTACGATTATTCCTTATACGTACGTTTTACAAATTTAAAAAAAAAAAAAAACGCGCGTAAATAACGAATTTTTCCCAAATAATAAATACTGAAATCGATTCTATAAAAAATTATTCATACGTTAAAACGAAACCGAAAGTTTTTTTTGAAAAATAATAATAATAAAGAAATGTTTTGTTTCTCATTCCAAAAAACAAAAAAAAAAACCTGAAATTCATTATTATTATTATCATTATTATTATTTTTATCACATCAACCGTGGAATTAGATTTATGGCAATTTTAAATAATTTTTTATTAAAAAAAAAAAAAAAACCGCGATGGAAAAACGATTCGCTTCGCATTCGAAAAAAAAAAAACCAAAAAAATACAAAAACCAACCGAGTCTTCCCGAAATTCAATTCACCATGTTAAAATAATAATAATAATAATAATAATAATAATAATAATAATAATAATAATAATAATAATAATAATAATAATAACAACAACAACAATAATAACAATAATAATAATAATAATGATATAAAACGTGTACGCATAATATTCTTAAAACAACAACAACGACAAATGATAAGACAAGCGATAAAAATAATTAATAATAATAATACGAAGAAAGAGAAAGAGAGAGAGAGAGAAAAAGAGAGAAAGAGAAAGAAAAAAAGAGAAAAAGAGAGAAAGAAAAAGAGAGAGAAAGAGAGAGAGAAAAAGAGAAAAAAAGAGAGAAAGAGAGAAAAATTGAAATAGTTCAGAGGATTAGAGAGTAAAAAAAAAAAAAAAAAAAAAAAACCGGAAACGAGGATACGTCATCACCGGTAAAAATCGTTTCCGACTAGAAAAAGGAATATTTGACGATTCTATTCGGGAATTATCATTCGAACGCACTTTAAAATCCCCAAATTTTAATGGCCTCAACGATAAAATCCCTGAACTAAATATTAAAAGTGCGACGTTTTTAATCCTGCGAATGTACGATAACAAAAAAAAATTATTACGTAATAAAAAAAGTAAAAAGTAATACTTTCGTGTTTCCTTACCCGCGTGAATTTGATGGTCATTTAATGAATTATTTTACCGGGTTAAACAAAATCACATATCAATTAATATTCAACCATTTTAAAATTGATTATTCACACACACACACACACACTCGACGAATTCTTATTTCATTTAAAATTTCCTAAATTATTATCATTATTATTACTATTATTATTATTATTCTAATCTTTGAAACCTTGAAACGTTCGTCAAAAAACGTTGCAGATTCCGTGAGAGAGAGAGAGAGAGAGAGAGAGAGAGAGAGAGAAAGAACGTGTCAACAATATAACCAAAACAAAAGAACTCTTTTAAAGGTTTATCAATGCCCCCTTTTTGGAAGGAGGGGGTAAAGGGGGAGGAAAAAAAACAAACACGAGAAAAAAATTGATGACGTTTAAATGACATCACGAAACGACAGTTCACAATACAATCGATCGATCGATCGACGATACAAAAAACAAATAATCGATACGAAAAGAAGACGAAACAAACGCGACGAAAGTAATAATAATAATGATAATAAATGAAAGAAGGTATTAATAACGTGTTAACTTCCGGTCGTGGTTTCCTCATTTGTTGTACGGTCACACGTTTCATTGTCAGTCAATACACTACGTGCGTCAGTATCATCATCATCATCGAAAGGTTCATTACCATCGAATAATATTTAAAAACTTTTACCGAGCGTAATATTTCGATTTCGATATTTTGGAGAGAAAAAAAATAACTATTATTATTATTATCATTTGTTTTTCTTACCTTATTGCTTTGATGTTGTTCGCTTAGTAATGATCCGGCTGTGGACACATCATCTCTTATTTCAACCGGTTGAGCTCTTCTCAAATCCCAATTCTGTAACAATAATAATAATAATAATAATAATAATAATAATAATGAGTTACGTAGGTCAAAAGGTTATTTTGGACGTGAATTATTTTTTTCTCTTCTGCTAGTTCATTGTTTTAAAAAAAAAAATCTTACTAATTACAAACGTCGTTGATTCGACTAAAAAATAATGAGAGATAATGATAATCGATATCATAGCGTTTGTACAATCACGTGATCGATATTGAATAATACGAGTGAGTGAATTTGTTTTTATTTATAAACAAAAAAAATTTTCTTGTAGGGTAGTCTTCTTGTTTGTTTAATTTTCCAACCCCCATTCCGAATCACAATTCGATTTATTATCATTATTATTATTTTTTGCACGCGTAAACAGCAGACGACTAATCATTTGTACCCCATAGAACGACGCGTTAAATGTTTTTAATGTTTATCATACGCGTTTTGCCATCCAATCCACTTCCCAACATGCTCTTGATAAATTTATATAATGTTTCGATTGTTTTATCGACAAGTACATTGTTTATGTTTATGTTTTTTCAACATACTTAAGAGAATATTGGAAAATTAAATATAAATAAACATAATTTTAAAAAGGGTAATTTTAAAAACAAAACATAGAAAAAACATTCGAAAAGATAACGATACGTAAAAACACACACACACTCGTGTTTATTTTAATTAACTTATGAGAGATAATAAAAAATTATTTATTTATTTTTTTATTTATCAAGTTTTGCCAACCTTTAAAAAATAAAAAAAAAAAAATTTTAATTTTCTCATACTTAAATATAGCGACTTTGATAATGACCTTTAATAACACAACATGCCAAATCAATAAAAAAAAACAAAAAAAAACGAAGGAAGTATTGAAAAATTATCGACTATTATTATCATTATTATTGACATTAAAAAAAAAAATTGCAACAATTTATAAACTGACTCCTTTCTTCTATACACGTCCCAAATATTTCAGGTAAATTTTTATTTTATCCTTATACACGTGTCGTTCTTATTATTATTGTTAACGTGATTGGTTCAAGGTCATGTTTCCTAGTTCCCCGACAAAAAAGAAAAAATCAGGTACGACAAGAGACCAATTAAAAAAGACAAAAAAAATTTTGGTTTTATTTTCGGTTTGCGTTTTCCACGGATTAAAATAACAATGAAAAAAAAAAAAAAAAAAAAAAAACGTGGAAGCAGATGAGTTGTTTTCATAAAACTTTTCATTTCTTTTCTTCTTTCCTTTCTCATTAATAAGAAATGATCAATCATTGGCTTTTGGTTAACCTTGAAAAGAGAGGAGTTAGAGGTTGGCTGGTTGGTTGCAATCGTGTGCACAAATGTTAATGGGATTCATACGCACTCGCACGCACACACACGCATACACGCAGTGATGCAAAACGTATAAATGAAAGTATTTTACATATTTTTTTTTTTTAAATACATAATCGTGACTTAACAACTAAATTTTCATTTTCTATCCATTCTCGTTATTTAAAATATAAAAGGATGAGAAAAAGTGGAGTCAATCAATCACACATCACCTCATCAAACAAACACTCCATAGTTTTTGAAAAGAGAGAGAGAGAGAGAAAATTATATTAAAAACAATTAAAAACATCCGACAGATTTTGAATGAATGAAAAAAAGGGTTTTGGATATCCGTGCGTGTATGTGTGCCTGTGAAAGGCACGTTAGGGTCTAGAAGAACCCATTATAATGTTACGGATGGCTTACGAAAGTTTTCAATACTCCCCTTAAAAAAAAAAAAAAACAGGTTTAACAATTACAATTAGGGGGCTTCTCACCGTCATTGCACACACAACAGGTCAACAACTAACGATAATATTATTGTTGTTTCTTCCCCCCCCCCCCCGTGATGAAAAATTTTTTGTTTTGGATACCCGAACCTTAACAACCAAAAACATTTTTTTTTTCAACGGAAACAACAACGCAAACTCGAAACAAAGAAAAAAAAAAAATCCATTGATTTTATTAAAGAAAGTAAATTATTTTTGGCTTTGTTATGAAAAAAAAAAAAAAAAAAAAAAAACTGTTGGCAACAATGGATAATTTACGGAGAGATGAGATGAAAAAAAAAAAGACGAAATTAAAAATAACCAAAAATTGTAAATGTGACGTAACGAGCATAAACATTTTAATACTATTATCGAAAACGATTCACCTGATTTAAATATAATTCGAGAATAGGCCACAAAGGAAAAAAAAGGAAAATTTTTGGCATTAGCATGACGTAGCATCGTCCAGGTTGGCAAAACTTGAAAATCGTCGAACCGTTAAAAAAAAAAAACCTTCTCATTATCTTAAAAAATTTTCCTTTGTTTTGTCTTTTTATTGTCGCTGAACTGAAAATAATCTTTTTTTTTTGAAAAAGGAAATTGCAAAATTGTGAATTTTGCCAAACAAAGATTCTAAAATTTTTTTTTGGACGGAAATTATACCACCTGGCAATCAAACCGTAAAAACTTAATATCCGCTCAGGTGAGTGAGTCACGGATTCGAAAGAAACAAACAAAAAAAAAAAAAAAAAAAAGTACGCGACGCGTGAAAGAAAGATTTCAGGTACGAGAATCAACCGTCCAGAAGAAAGAATATCCTCCCCCTACCCCCGTTTCGAAAAAAACAATAACTTATTAACTTACTTCTTTTCCAGGCATTGACCAAAGGCCATCCGAATATCCGTTTGATTGTTTTAAATTTCTATCATCTTCTTCTCTGTCTTCATCTTCTTCTGTCGTCCCGTACATTCTTCTTCTTCTTACGTCATTTTTTTTATTTTCGTAACCGTTTCTTTTTTGTAAAGGAAAATCCATTGATTTGCATTTGCCCGCGTTGTTGTTGTTGTTGCTGTTGTTCTTATTATTATTCACAACCATCGATCTCGCAAAAGAACTTTTAAAATAATTACAATGTCCGCTGTCGGATGTGACATCAAATTTTCCTTTGGTATCCGGTTTTTTTAATTCATCCTTACAATTATCATTATTATTATTATTCATTTCGAAACTCGCCGTCGCTCTGTTGTATTCACCGATTTTAAACACTTTCGGTCTGTCAATGTAACCGTTCGTACCTGTCGGTAAAGTTTTTATTTCCGCACATTTAACGTCATTTCCGTTGTTGGGTTTTTGATCTTGTATCATTTTACCAAAATCTTTCATTTTATTTTTATAACATCACACACGGCATAAAAATAATTTAAAAAAAAAAAAAACCTGATGATGATGTGACCCACCCGCCCCCCCCAAACGACGTAAACGATTTAAGACGTTAGAAAACAAAACACAAAAAACAAAATGACATCGACTTTACGACCATCAACGACGACACAAACGACTCGATTAATTTTTGTTTGTTCGATACAAACAAGCAAAATCCGTGGATTTCACTGGAACCGGCGAGGTAGGGGAACTCAGCGAGCGTGAGCCTCACTCTCATTGGTTGTTTTTCAAAACAGTCACGTGACCACTCTTTTGTTTACGTTTGATAGTAGTAATTCGGCGGCAAACAATCATTTTTATACCTCGCCTTCCATATCTAAATTGATATTTTTCTCTTATCATTGCCTTCTTATCACTCCTTCGTCTCTGCGATTACGTAATAGAATCCTTAAATGAACCAGGGGTAAAATTTAATAAGTAAAATCCAAACGATCAACGTAGATTGCTTTTCATTTTATTGTTATCACCACACGACAATGGCATCATCTGTAAAAAAAAAAAAAAAATTGAAATTTTCGCCATAAAAAAAAAAATTCTTATCATTATTATTATTATTATTATTGAGTCGAAAATATTTTAAAAGGATTAATATGTTTAAAGAGGTCGTGTCAGGGGGATTTTTTTTTTACCGTCAAAAATCTAATCCAATTCGAAATTACTCTTTTCAAATTTAAATTACAACCATTATATGTAATTTTTATAACACGATGCGTACGCGGTGTGAGTCTTTATTAGTAATAAACGTGTCATTAGCTTTAAAAAAAAATAGCCGAAATAAATAGAAAAAAAAAAAACTCAGTTCAATTATACGTACGTACGTAAATAACGATCGAAATCATTTATTATTATTATTAATATTATTATTTATTTTTTGCCGTGATAAACAGCTTTTTTTTTTTATCAAACCATTATCAATTATCACCACCACCAACGAAACCATAATTTTTCCGTTAAATTTTTTTTCCTTTACACCGACATCTAACGGAAATAAAAACAACTAATTCTAAACTGTTTTAAATTAGTTCGAACTTTCCCCCGCAAAATTCCATTTATTATAACACGTCGTGTTGTTTATTTATTATTTATTTATTTATTTTATAAAAATGCAAATGGCTTCCATTAATTTTATTAAATGCAAAATATATATACATATATGAAGGATTCCTTTTTATTATTATTATTATTTTTTTTTTTTTTTCATTATTTAAAGTGCCCTTTTAAACATTCTCTTACTTTTTTTTTTTTTTTAAAAAAAAGGGATAATTCATTTTTATTTACGAAATATCGGCGTAACAATAAAGAAAAAAATAATAAAAAATATTAAATTTGTTTCCCTCTTCCCCCCCCCCGCATCCCCGAAGAGTTTTCCAAACCTTTCGACTATGACGAAGACGATGATACAATGTCCATTGTATATTAAACGCATAAATTTGTCGTTTAAAAAAAAAAACTTTGCATTGTTTATACGGCCAGGTCATGAATTTTTATTCGTTTCTTTTCATTTTCTGGAGAAAAAAAAACCATTCGGTCGGACAAAGGGGATAACATTCGATAAGACAAAACAATGGATTTTATTAAACGACGTTCCCTTCACCCTTATTTTCTTCTGGAAAAATTATCATCATCATCATTTCAACAAACTACATCGCCGCCTGTTATATAAAAATAACGACTGGAAAAGTATATAATTTTACGATACGATAAAACTACCGTATAAAAAAACAAAACAAAATGGACAAACAACATTTTCGACAAAACAAACAAACCAACCACCTCCCCTCCCCTCCCTCACCTTGGGGTTATTTCGTAATCCTTTTACAACAAACGAATATTCTATACGAAAAAAATTTTTTTTTTTTTTTCATAATAACACTTTGCATCGTTCTGTATCAAATTCATTTTAATAATTTTCAAACAATAATAATAATAATGATGATGATGATGATGATGATGACTTGATTAAATAAACGTTCAAATACTTGAAAACCTGTTCTAAATAAAGTTAAGAAGAGAAAAAACTCACTCACTCATACACAAAAGTGTCACGTTGTAATTATAACGATGGAGATTTTTATTCTTTAAGTTTCACAACAACAACAACTTTCTGAACGTTTCGATCTAAATATATAATAACAAACAAACAAACAAACAAACGATCGAAAAGTGATTTACTTTTACAGTGGGTAAAGTAAAAGAAAACCTTGATCAAAAGCGGATTTAATGAATCCTTCCTTCCGCCATGTTTTCTAATTAAAAGTTGTTGAATTGAACGCACACGCGACGACATCGACGCATTCGATTACGTTCCCCGGGTTTGATAAGGTGTACGCGGAAAGGTCCCCACACAAATACGGGGGCACATACGTTCGCTCACACACACAAACAAGTGGTGGTGGTGGCGGTGGTGGTTTTTTTTTTCTATTCCGTGCCACTTTTTATCATCATCATCGTCATTTTTTTTTTTTTTTTTGGGTAAACTCTCCCTCACCTTTTTTTCCGGTATATAATATGTGCGATAGTGATGTTGATTTCTTACCTTCACACGAATCCGGATTTAGAACCATGTTCGATGATAGAAATCTTCTCTTTCCAATATTAGGTGAGTCCATTTTTTCTTTTTTATTTTGTCTTTCGTACTTCAAGGACGTCGTCATCTTGTTCTTCGTTTATTTGTACTTTTTTTTTTTGTATGCATTAAATTTTCCAACGTACCTGAAATAAATAAAAAAAAACAACAATTTAGTTTTTTAATAAATTATCGAGATCGTGTTGTTGTTGTTGGCAAACAAACAAACAAACACACACACGCATTTAAATAATATTAATAAACATTTGCAACTGACTAATGTTTTTTTTTTTTAATAAAATTAAATTAAATATTGCAGACGACGACGAATTTTTTTTTTTTTTTTTTGCTGCGGTTTACGTATAAATTATTATTATTAATATATTTGTGGAGTTTGTCGTCATCGACGTGACGTAATATCATCATCACTTTATTACCCGTCGTCAATATTAAAATATTTTTAAATTTTAAATTAAATCATTCGCGAGGTACGCTCACATGACGATGATGATGATGATGATGTTAATTTTTTTTTTGCGATAGTTTTTACCTATCATCATCATCATTATCATTTTCATACCCGTTATCGATATCGTGTGCTACAGAATCCTTTCATCGATCCTTCCACAACATTCCATTCGGCTGAAAAAAAAAGTTTTTACCCAAGATTTCGTCATCACTCCCTTAAACCAATGCAATATCATTATTATTATTATTATTATACGTTCGACGACCTACGTCATCAATAAGTTTTCATCGCAAATAAATAAAATATACAAAAATTTATGCCAACTTATTAATTTTTTTTTTTTTTTTTACTCGATATTGTCCAAGTGATGATGATGAGTAGTACGTGACGTGCGTACACATATGCGTATATGCATTCGTGTAAATGCGTGTGTGTGTGCGTGCGTCGTCATCATCATCATCATCATCATCATCAATCTCATTATTATTTAAATTCTCAACATTATAAACAAATAAAAAATTTAAATTTTAAATCAATATTTTTTTAAATCAAATCCATATAAATTTCTTTAAAAAAATTCATTGAGCGGTTAAATTCTCGAAAACGGAAAATATAATAAATGAATGTTAAATTTTTTTTTTTTTTCTCTCTCTGAAATTAATCAAATGACCTGCAACGAAATGTGTTATTATTATTATTATTATTATTATTATCATCATTATCACTGTCATTCTTAGAGTTTATTAAAACAAAACTAAAGCTGGTACGTTTAAAATAAATTTTTTATGAATACTCATTTCATTTTTTTTTTACCGTAAATAATAATCACAGTGATAATAATAATATTAATAATAATAAATAGTATTAAATTTAAATTTTGTTAAAATTACAAATAAAAAACACGATTATCGATTCCCGCCATTTTTTTTTTTTCAAAATAATTATTTTTAAATTTTGCTTATGTTTCCGATTAAAAGTTTTATGCGCTGTGTTTAAAAAAAAATTAATTTGTAAAAATTTTTATAATTATTATTATTAATACAATTCTTTAGTGAATAATAAAGAATAATAATAATAATAATAATAATAATAATGGAAAAAGGCGTCGTTGACGTGAAGGAAAAAAATTTAAAAAAAAAAAAAAATTTTCGAGAAACCTTTCAAAAAAATAAAGAAGAATTTCCTCGTCGTATCGAATTACAATTTTTCTTTTCTTTTTTTTTTTTTTTTTTACCCCGTCCGGGGAGTAAAACTAATAATAAGGTTTCACTGCATTTGAAAATGATAGACTTCCGGTCGAAAAGTTAAAAAAAAAAAAAAAAAAATACAAATGTGGAAAATTCGAGTCGAAAAAAAAAAGTAAAAATGTAAAATATCGCAGTCAAAAATTAAATAAAATTTTACCTGTCCAATGTCTCTCTCTCTCTCTCTCTCTCTCTCAATGCCCTCTCTCTCTTTCCCTCTCTCAATGCCCTCTCCCCCTTTGTCTTAATGCCCTGTCTCTCTCTCTCTCTTAATCCCCTCTTTCTCTCTCTCTCTCTCTCTCTCTTAATGCCCTCTTTCTCTCTCTCTCTCTCTTTCCTAATGTCCCCTTTCTCTCTCTCTCTCCCTTTCTCTTTCTTTCTTCGACTAACGACAAATTTTAACATCAAATTTAAATTTTATCATTATCATAATCATTATTATTATTAAAATTATTTTGTTAACCATAAATTCGAATGATAAAAAAACCAAATCAATATAAATCGTACGAATGAAAAATATTCGAAAAAAAAAAAACGGAAGTAAAACAATTTTTTTCTTGACAGAAATAAAAATCCTTTTTAAAATTTATATTATACAAAAAAAAAAAGAAAAATGAAGGTCGTCACTTTAGTAAGAAAAATTGGGAGGGAAAAGAAATAATAATAATAATAATAATAATAATAATAACATAACGACATCCTCGTATTACGTTACACGTAAGAAGGTGGTAGTAGTAGTAGTAGTAGTAGATTCACGTAGATGATATAAATTGGATCGATTTGAAATAATTTTCAATCGTTCCTTAAATTATAAACGCAACCTTTCTCCCGTAATAATACTTATTTATAAATAATAATAATAATAATAATAAAACGAAATTATTATTATCATTATTATTAATTTTTTCTCTTCTCAATAAGTTAAAACACGTGATTGAATCTGTTGTTACCATGATTGCCTTGAGCATGTGAAAGTGTGTGTGTGTGTGTGTTTGTACACATTCCACGCCATGTGCCACGTGATTATATTCCTCTTTCTCTTCCTTCTTACCTTTACACCATCTTTTTCATCTCTAAGCTTTTTTCCTTCCCTTTTCTATCTCTCTCTTTCTCTCTCTCCCATTCCTTTTATTCTTTTCTTTTCCTTTTCTTTCCATATTCAACATTATTATTATTATTCTTTTGTCTTCATACTTTATATATATATATATATATATATAAATATCTGATTTTTTTTTTTTGGAATAAACCACGTGACTTTTTATCGATTTGTTTTTCATCTTCCTTGTTTATAATTAATTTCCGTGTCCTTTTCATTATTATTATTATTATTTATTTATTTGTAAAAAAATTTTTTTAAACGATTCGATCGATTCGAAACAATTTGTTGTTGTTGTTTAAACAATTCGTATTTATCCTAACGCGTATGTATCGAAAGAAAAATAATTAAATTATTATTATTATTATTATTATAATTATTATTATTATTGATTTCTTCTCTTGTTAAAATAAAAAATATTGAAAAGCTCATCTCGCTCACGTGTTGATAACCGGTCACGTTGCTTTGACTTAAGTCTGAAATCCCCCGTTTATTCTTCACGCTCTCAGCCTCGTGGCCAAAGAAGAATTCTCTTTTAACAAAAATTATTTCAGTTTTTATCGGGCGACAGTTTGAAAATGTCAATTTTTTTTTCGCTTTGTTTTCTTTTGTTTCGGGGAAAAAAGTAATAATAATAATAATAATAGTTTTTTTTGCTACGGATCATCGTTTTAATAAAAAAGTAATTATTTATATTATTTAATCGTCGTCATGATGTTAACTAAAAAAAAAAAAAAAAAAAAAAAAAACGTTTCGAGTGATAATAAACGTAATGATAAGTTTTTTTTTTTTTTTTTAAATTAAACTGCGATCAAAAAAAGCAGACGACAAAAAAAAAAAAACAAATTCGTTTCCGGTGTTTTAACGTTATTACTATTATTATTATTATTTTTTTTTTTTTTACATTTACATTCTTAATAAAATGTGTCGAAAGAAACATTTATCCGTTCGTTATAATGATGATGATGATGATAATAATAATAATTTTGTAATCGGGTGAAATATTTTTTTTTTTTTTTCTAAAAGGCGAACCCCGTTTTTAATTATATCATCATCATCATTATCATCATCATCATCATCATAACATTAAAAAATATTCTTTGTTGTAATCACCGTCATCGTTACATTATTCGTTGCGTTGTCCATTTGAAAAATTTTTTTTTTTTTCATCTTAAATTAAAACACCCAAACGAATGTAATAATAATAATAATAATAATAATAATAATAATAATAATAATAATGATAGTAATAGTAATAATAATAATAATAATGATAATGATAATTAAAAAAAAAATTTTCTCATTCGCGCCCGAAATTTAAAAGTTATAGTTTTTATCAAACGTTACGATAAGGAAATCGCATAGTTAAAAATAAATAAATTTACGCGCGTAATTTTTCATACCTGATAAATTTGTTAAAACTATTGAAAAGTCACACGAGGAAAATTCATTTTTTTTTTTTTTTTGGTGTTTTGATGTACCTTAAAAGCCTTTTCAAGGTACTCAAACTCAAACCTTTTTCGATAGAAAGACACGTGAACGTAAAAATTTAACCGACACGAATCACAACTCCGACAATAATTTGATTTTTTTTTTTTTTTTTTTGAATTTTAAAATATTATCTTAGATGTGAAGAAAATTTTTTTTTATTCTTGTGTGTGTGTGCGCGAGCGTGTGTATATATAAACGTGTAAATAAAAAAAAAAAAAGAAAAAAAAAACTACTGATAACAAACAACGACAGCGTAAATAAAAATTGTTATCACTCAAAAAAAAAAGAAAAAAAATATTAATAATAATAATAATAATCAAATTATTGTCGTGTCGTATTATTTATTTATTTATTTTTTTTTAAATTCGAACGCGCACGTGAAATTAAAAAAAAAATTTTCATGTGAAAATTTTACATTATCATTATTATCATTATCATTATTATTATTTAATTCGTTGTCGAATTTATTATTAATTTTTATTACCTTGAAAAAAAAAAAAAAATTATCCGCTCAAAATGAAATAAGTTCTCATTTAATACCTTTTTAATGAGTAATTAATAATAATAATAATAATAATAATAATAAATAATTTTAATCGCGTAAAAATAAATCATTTCACGTGTGACGTCATAGAAATTCGTTTTCTCGCGAAAAAAACAAAAAAAAAAATATATATCCAACCTTTTGAAATTTAATTTTATTATGATTATTATTATTATTATAATCATTTTCATTATCATTATTATCATTATCATTATTATTATCATTATTATTATTATTATTAATAGCTTTTTTTTTAATCAATGACAAAAAATAAATTTTTACCGCGAAATTTAAACGAATTTGCAAAAATTATATTCAACTAGTGTAGGGGGGGGAGGAGAAATAATAACGATAATAATCTTCATCACCGTTATCATCATCATCATCACCATCGCGATAAATTCATTTCCGTTTTTCACTTCCTCGTACATCCGGTCAAACACGTTATTATTTAAATTTTTCCTTAAGGGAAAAAAAAATCACGTTCGAAAGGAAAATGTAACGAGTTTACGAGTCGGTTTCGTTTTTGACCTTTTCGATATTTTTAATAATTTTTTTTTAATAACAAAAAAAAAAAAAAAAAACAAACGACGAACTCGCAAACGAATAATAATATTTATTTCCGGTTTAAAAAAAAAAAAAACTTACCCGCATTAATACCCGTTTGAATAATCAATTTCCGTTACCGAGTAACCACCGGAAATAAAAAAAAAAAAAAATTTACAATTCCGCAGGTACACATTTTTTTGGTTTTTTTTTTTTTTTTGCGATCGGCAACCGTAAGAGCAACAAAAGCAATTTTTTTTCTTATTTGTTTCCGGTAACGCTCGCGTGAGAACCGTCGGTACAAACAAACAAACAAACAATCAATGTTCGAATAATCTCATTTATTATTATTATTATCATTCACGGCGGCTAAATGTAATCGAAAGTATGTAATAATAATAATAATAATAATTTAATAATTTTTATTTTATTTTTTTTGGATCGTAAAGTCAAACTTTTCAAAATTATTATTATTATTATTATTATTTATCGAGGGCAGCAATATCGATTAAATTAGACGCGATTATTTTTTTTATTTTGCCATTAACGGCGACAAAAAATTTTTTTTTGCTACGGTTTAAAAATATTTTTACGCGGATTTTCCCTTTCATTTAGCAAAAAAAAAAAAAATTTTGTTTGCATTCACGTACAAATTTCAATGCTCTAGTTGCAGTTTTTATTTATTATTATTATTATTGCTATTATTATTATTATTATTATTATTATTATCGTTAACATCATCATCATTATTATTATTATTAACAGCAGCAAAATTTATCACCGCAAAAATGAATAAAGATAATTCTATATTATTAACATTAACCCGTAAATTTTTTTAACTTTTTTTTTTCTTTACTTAACGCGCGCGAGTATCGAAATACTAACAATAATAATAATACTAATCGATATCGATTAATCGATTTCATATCGATTGTTGCATACATTTGAAAAATAAAAAAATTTATAAAACGGAAATAAATAGTGAAACGAAAATCGATACGAATCCTTGGCCTCGGGACCAAGTCCCGCCAGACATGGGAACGGATACCAACGTGAGGGTGAATTACACGTCGACGACACCCAGTTACCTAACATCTTGGGTAGCTCAACAGCAACAACAGGAAGTGAGTTCGTCTTTCTTATGGCAACAACATCACCACCAATGGCAAAAACCACTTCCTCCGGGTCAACACGTTATAGGAAGAAACGTCGGTCATCATCACATGATGATGGGACCCGTTCACGGACACATTCCGACATCGTCGAGAAGAAATCCGACAGGTAGGGAATTTGTTATTTACAAAACAAAATGGCGTCGAATCAAAATATATATCTAAAACGTAACGGTATTAAAATTAAGTCGTTAAAAAGTGTGTTACAAACGTATGAATCGCGTTTAAATTCGTTTTCCCGCCTTTTCTTCACATTTCGTCATAGAGAAAATAAACCTTAACGCGTTTCCGAAAGAAACTCAAACATCCCCCTTACAATACGAAAAAAAATGACGTCACATCTCACAGGTAAATAAAATAAAAACATTCGAATAAATTATGCAAAGTAATAAGAGAGAAAGAGAGAGAGAGAGAAATGATTGAGAGTGTCTCGAATTGACAAAAAAAAAAAAAAAATGAGGGAATGAGGACAAAATCTATGTATTTTCTCTCTCTCTCTCTTTCATCTCTCCATTTTGTTTTTCCGCAAATAAATAATAATGACTATTATGAAGATTGCATCATTTAAAAGTATAATTTTTTTTTTTTTTTTTTTCTCCATTTACGCACGTAATACATTTTACACACACGATCATAAATAATAAAAGCGAAGAGTGGGAACAAGCAAAAGAGTTACATTCACGCATTCACGCACGCAATTTAAGCAGAAGACAAATTTTAATAATAATTTTATTACCTGAAAAAAAAAAAATCCGAATAAGAAAAAGAAAACAATGGAAAACAACAACGTTTTAATTTTGAATTAATTTGTTTTCTGTTTCCCCTCCCCTCCACCTTCCGCCCTTTCGTCGTGGCTTTAATAACGTCATATTTTCGTCTGCTTTTTCTTTTCCTCCTTTTCCTTTTTGCAATTTATTTTTTTATTAAAAATTGTTTTCGTGCCACGATTTTTTTTTCTGTTTTAAACGTTTTGTGTGTTGCATAATAACTTTCATAAAAATGATGCGGTTTGTATTTTGCATATCATGTCCACGTTTGTTTGGTTGTTATCGATCTTATCTTCGTTTCGGCCCGTTTGTCGGATGAAAAAGAAAATCCTACATTTTATATTTCTTTTTTGTCCAGTTATTTTAAAATCCTTTCTCGGATCACTTTTTTGAATCTTCGTCTCCTTTGATTGTTTGTTTCTCGAATAATCGCGTTTATGTGTAAAAAAAAAAAAAAAAAACTTTTTCCGTACAAACAAAAAATTTTCCAGACGTGAAAACAAATTATTCGTTTTTCAAATGCGTCAAATAACGAACTTTATACAAGCCCAAAAAAAATTTCTCCACCTCTTCTTCTTCTTCACAAAAATTTCTTCTTCCTCCATTTTAAGATTTTTTGCAAAAAAAAAAAATTTAAATTCTTGCGAAAACAAAAAAAAAAAAAAAAAACCAATTTCGCCAAAAATGGAAGCTCGTTACGAACATATCACTAAATTAAAAAGTAAAAGTTTCCGAATGGAAAAATTCAACGCAACAAACAAGCAAACAAACAAACAAACAAAAAATTCAAACGGAAGAAGATGAAATGGAAATTTAAAAAAAAATTTTTTTTTTTAAAAGAACCGTAAATTAAATCAACAAAAAGAACCTTTCTCTTCTGTTCCCTCCCTCCCCTCCCCTTTCCGGTCGGGCTACTGACGTCATCAAGAAAATAAAAAAATATCCACGAAGGCGCGTTTAAATTAATAAAAATACGTTATTATAAATCCACATATAAATTACATTTGAAAAAAATGACGTGTCAGGTTGCAGGAAGACGGACGATCGGACGGACGGACGGATTCGTTTGAACCACTTTCGTTTTCATCGGAGAAGGCGGCAGTGGAAGAAGAATAAGAAGAAGTTGTTGTTTGTTACCAACTTGTACTCGCTTTCTTCCGCATTTTAAATAATAAATAAATAAATTTTTACATTGCCAAAATGTCAACACAACGTTGCAAATTTTTCTTCCTCTTCTTTTTCTTCTTCTTCTTCTTGCGAAAATTTTCTCATGGTTATGAATGAATTAGCAACTTTATTATTTATTGTATTCGAACAACAACAACAACAACCACAACAATAATAATGATAATGATGATAAAATTAATTTTTTAATTTAAAAAAAGAACAATGAATACGTTATATCGTCGGGGAAAAAAAAAATTTTTCTCTTCCCAAGTTCAAGTTTCGTAACCGCTCCTTTTTTTTCCACTTCCGGTATGTTTGGAAAAAGCTTTCACGCACACGCTCACGCACACGCACACACACACGCACACGCACACGCACACACACACACACACACACATTTTTACTTAATTATCTAAAACCGAAAACGAATATTTCAAAAAAATCTTCTTTCGTGAAACAAAAAAAAAATCAATTGATGATTTTCTTATATTCCTTTTCCTTAATTCCCGCGCCATTTTGTTTTTTTTTTTATAAACCATTCAAACCGTAGACGAGTTTATTTTACTTCCTCGAGTACTTTCTACTTTTACGCTACGGTTGCAAAATTAAAGTTTTTTTTATTACAATTATTATTATTATTATTATTAATAATCCCGTTATTTCATTACAATTTCCTCAATTCGTTTTTTTAAAATTAAATAGAAAAAAAAAAAAAAAAAACGCGATGACAAAAGCGCTAACCGAAAAATTCTAGCGCATGTTCGTATTCATAAACTAATAATAATAATAATATTAAATCGCTGGTACCAACCGAATAAAAAAAAAAAAAATGAAACGCGAGATGAATCGCGTTTTATTAATTAACTTTTTTCTTTTTTTTTTAATTAAATAAATTAGTCGGTTATCATAAGTTAATACGTAAGTAGCAGACGACGAAAGGAAGTAAATAAAACACACACACACACACACATGTTGGTCGTAAAGTCGTGGAACTAGTAAGTAGTGGTAACGTTACGTAAAAAACGCGGTTAATACGTTAATACATTTTTATTTCTTTTAACGCCGCCTGCCTAAGGTAAAAGAAAAAGTGAACAATGACTAAAGTAAAAAAAAAAAAAATTCTTAATTGTTACGCCGATATTTAACTTACGAGAAAAAAGACATAACGAAATCATCCTCAATACGATCGATTTTCGATTATAAAAATATCGATAACTTATCGATTTTCAAAAAAAAAAAAATTTTTTTTTTTTTTACAATCATTCATCCTTTTAAACGAAACGTCGTAAAAATAATAATAATAATAATAATAATAATAATAATAATAATAATAATTTATATAAAAATAAAAACGGAAACGGAAATGAAATTTTTTTTTTTTTAAATCTCGTATTCATTAATAAAATAAAACCCTTAATATAAAACTCAAAAAACAAAAAAAACTTCCTGGAAAATGGCAAATTAATTAAATTAAAATAATAATAATAATGATAATGATAATAATAATAATAATAATGATGATAATAATACATAAATTTATCCATTCGCGTAATAAAAAAAAAAAAAAAATTAATTAAAAAAAAAAAACGGATATCCCGATTAAATATTAATAAATCGATTAAAAATCGTTGGTCGTTGTTGTTTGTTGTTGTTGTGCCTACCTAACGCTATTAAAACTTGTTTTGAACTTTATTTATTTATTTATTTGTTATGTATCCCTTAAGGGGCCCTAGGAAAATTGTCAAAAAAAAAATAAATAAATTTTTTTTTCCTGGTTCTTAAACGTTCATATTCATATTCTCGATATGGTATGGAAAGTGGAATGAGAAAGAGAGAGAGACGCGAAACGAAACTCGTTCGTAAAAAGAAAAGCTTTTTGAAAATTAATGCCACGCCGAAAATACCGGATATTAAATGAAAATAGGAGGGGAAAAGGGCATCGGAAAAATTAAATGCAAAAAAAAAAGAAAAAAAAGAAAATTTTCATATGAAAAATAACCTGAGTGGATGAGAAAAAAAAAAAAATAAAATAAATAATAAATAAATAAATTTATTTCGCCGAATGAAAAGGAAAATGAAAAAGTAGCTTTCACTATCTATAGGTTCATTATTATTTTGTTACTCGAGAACTAAATAACAAACATGACGGAAGAGATTCAACAATTCCGCGCGCGCGGGAAGGGAGAGAGTAAGAGTGAGAGAGTGAGATAGAGAGAGAAAGGAGAGAACTGTAGCAGAAGAAAAAAAAATTACGATTGTTTGTGGTGGGGTTTGCATCCTGTGAAAACGACCGAGTAGGAGAAGAAGAAAAAAAAGTCGTGAAGAAGAAAGTGGTCTCGGTGCTCGGTGAGTCTGCTAACACGATTCAAGCGCTCGCTACCCGCTATCAGTGTGCTATAGGACTAGCGGCTTGACGTTTGTCTGAGGGCGTAGGAGGCTAAAAACGGATTCCCTAGTCCCACGACAACGTCAAGAAATTATTATTATTATTATTATTATTAAGTTTTCGTCATTCGTTTCGGTTAAATTTTTTTTTTTTTTTTTTTTTTTCCCGGTTATAAATCGAGTGCGCGAAAAATCGAACCAAGGATTATTATTATTATTAACAATTTGTTTGTTGTTATTTTGTTTGTTTTCATTTGGGTAAAACAGACACGGAGTGAGTCCGGGTGATATAGAAAAGAAAGAAAAAAAGTGAAGGCGTGCGCGGTCGTAATTAATTTTTTTTTTTTCCCGTTCGAAAAAAAAAGGAGAAAAAAAAGGAAGAAAAAAAAAAATTTTTTTTTTTTCTTTTCTTTTCTTTTCTTTCCTTTCCTTTCCTTTTTTTTTTCGTTTCGTTTTTTTATTATCATTATTAGTATCGCCGTCATCATCGTTTTTTTTTTTTTTTACACACACACACACACTGTTAAAAATTAATTTATATGCCTGAAAACTTTGGATTAAATCGAATACCCGGCAACCGGCCACAGCAAATGGATTACCAACAGCATTCATCACCGACAGTTTTAACAAACATCCATCAGCACGGAGGTCACGCATTGGTTCATGCTCTCGGTCAACAAGCGCTACAAATACAAAATGATACAAACGATAATAACACGAGATGGTCGCAATACCATCATTTATGGAGGCAACACATGTTCATAAACGGTAAGACGAAAACAAAAAAACAAAAATTTATGAAAACCTACGACGACGGCCATCTTAGAAAAATATTTAACGGAAAAATTAACAAAAAAAAAAAAAAAAATTTTTTTTTTCTATTAGAAATTCTTAATAATATTCTCTACTATCGGATGAGTGCGTGAGTGCGCGTGCATTTCAATCTCACGTCGCGGTTAAAAATGCGGAAATTAAAAAAAAAAAAAAAAAAAAAAAAAACAATAATAATAATAATAGTAATAATAATAATAATGATAATCAAAGTTAAAGGCTCATTACACGCAATCGGTCAACATCACCTTTCCGGTAATTTTTCTACCCATTTAAAATTTAATAAAATAAAAAATTTCAACAATTTCGATATGAAATGGCAAAATTCACTTTCTTCTTCGAATATTTATTATTATTCTATTTACCCGACTAATTTTCACTCTCTAATAATTTTTTAAATTTTTGTTGTTGTTGTTGTTGTTGTTGTCGTCGTCGTGATTTACCCGGGCAAAAGTTATCGAAA